ACTAGTTGGGTGATACTAAAACAGTTAGACCCTTCGCCCTCAAGGGCCACGGGTCTAATTGTTAAACAGAGTCCATATTGCCGTGCGTATGTTCAGCAATAGATCACAGATGACGTCCAAATGTGGTGCGAACAAAAAAGTGGCACACGACGCGATAGCCGAGTCTGTCACTGATGTTCTCCCCACATTTTATAAAGCAAATACATTTTGATTTTGCCCAACGATTTTATTATTGTAAATTTTTATAGACATGTTTTAGTTTTGATAGTCATTCATTTATTCATTCAGATTATTCATTCATTCATTCACTCTTCAATTCAAACCAGACAACAAAGTAATACGTTTGGCAACCTGAAGTAACAGCTAATAATCGTACATAACATACGTTTTAAGGCTATGAGTGGACCACCGCATATTTAGTGTTCTCAAGAGTTGCAGCGATATACAGGCACGGGTGCTTAATATCAGTTTATTTTTGCATCATAGATACACAGTACACTGACCGTATCACTGACAATGATGGCAAAATCATTCACATTCCACATTAACTACTCTTGTAGACTCTTTGACACCAAGATCGTTTGCTGCTACGCATGTGTAGTTGCCAGTATCGTCTAACACTACATTTGTCACTGTAAAAGCGTTTTGCACAGCTCCATTCACAAGATTTCCATTAAATTTCCACGAAAACGAAGGTTCTGGCAAACCATCGGCCTGACAAAGCAATGTTATGTTCTGAGTAAGAGACACCACAGCAGGATCTGAAGTCACAACGATTCGCTGAGGAGCGTCTGAAAAGGAAGAAGGTGAATAACATTGTGACACCCAAGCACAAAAACAGTTCTGTGTATGTTCGCGTCATAAAATTTAGCACTTTCGAAATACTTGTATCCAAGTGCTTTCCAAACATTCTTCCAACTTTGCAAAGGATTTTAAGGGATGCACTATATACTCCAAATGAAAACGTTCTGAGAAGTTAACAGAAAACGTAACGCTCCCCACAATGCATCTGTGCAATTAATTAAGTGTTCAATTTACTAACTCGACTCTTTCTAATAATGTTATCTTCCGGCGCTTCGTAAAACGTTAGACAAAAGTAACCTTGGGGAAGAAACTAAGCGACGTGGTGGGGGCAAGGAGAATGATAAAACACACAGAGGATTTCGTTTGTGCGTATTTTATGAACTCTAACTGAATCATCCACATCAGCTGCGGGTGTTGACAGTCCCTGGAGGAGTCTTACTACTCTGCCTCGGCTTGACGCTAATCTAATGGGACTGTCAGACTACAATACAATATTTAAATAATCCAGGATTTGAAAAGTGGACCGAAGTGGAGGCCATAACCCCAATCCAATCTTCAGTTTTAAAGGAACAAAATAGCAAAACGATAACGACGCCGACGCCAAACGTTTTTCCACCTTCGATGGCTCCATCAAATCAATTGGAAGCGTTACAAAATAGAAAATGGCAAAACAAGACGCAGGGAGAGAAAGTAACACGAAATAGTAACACTTGACTGTAAGAAAGGTAGACTTTCGCCTTTCAATTGCAACATCGTTTTCTCCGTCACAAGAGTATTGGCCAGCACTTCCCTTGTTTGCTTGTTTGACTGT